AAGCGTTTCCTGTGTTCCAGGCAGTGGGCTCCGTGCTGCCTGGACACTCAGACATAAAAATAGCAGACTCCACTCTCCACTTCCTCAGTCTTCTAGAAACTACCCTCTTGCTCCAGAAGCAAGTAAATCATCCCAACACCCCGGCCCCTCTTTATGGTCATCCCGACAGGCTCCAACCCTAAGCACCTCCTTTGAGTCCATCAATCAGGACAAGTGTTAGCAGTGGATGAGAGGAACACAGAGTTGTCATGTTGGGGAACCACACAGACTGAAGGCTCTGGATTTAACCCAGACATACCAGGCCCCACTCAGGAGGAACGGTTTCCAAGTAGACATACACCAGGTTGATGATACCAGTGGGACACTCGGAAAAAGTATCTCATGTGGCACAAAGTGTTAAAGTCACATTCTACACATATCTGACTGCCCAGACCAAAAAGCTGCCGGATTCTGAGATAAGGGGCAAAAGCTTAACTTCAAATGGCCCTAACCAATCAGTAGGGTCTCAAGTACCAGTCAGGGCCTAGCATGGGAAACCAAAGCTGGATGCAGAAACTCCAGCTCTCCAAGTGAGGTGAAGACCAGGAAACACAAGTCAGAAATCATAAGGGGGAGTGGCAGGCAAGACCCTGCTTAGAATGCCAGCATCCCATGTCAGAGCCCAGCTCTGCTTCCACCCCAGCTTCCTGATAATGTGCACTCTGGGAGCAGCGGGTGATGGCTCAAGTAGCTGGGCCTCTTCCACACACACGGGAGACTCAAACTGAGTTCCAGGAACCTGGCTTTCTCCTGGCCCAGGCCTGGTTGTTGCAGGTATTTGGGGAGTGAACTGGTAGATGGAAAAATCTCTCTCCATTTGTCTCTCTGTCTCTGTCTCTTATGTGTGTGTCTGTGTGTGTATGTGTGCGCATATGCGCCCTTCCAATAAGTAAAATAAATAAAAATGTTTAGAAGTTCATGGACAATGGGATTAAAAAGACAATTTTTAGGCCGGCGCTGCGGCTCAATAGGCTAATCCTCCGCCTAGCGGCACCAGCACACCGGGTTCTAGTCCCGGTAGGGGCGCCAGATTCTGTCCCGGTTGCCCCTCTTCCAGGCCAGCTCTCTGCTGTGGCCTGGGAGTGCAGTGGAGGATGGCCCAAGTGCTTGGGTCCTGCACCCCATGGGAGACCAGGAGAAGCACCTGGCTCCTGCCTTCGGATCAGCGAGGTGCGCCGGCCGCAGCTCGCCAGCCGCGGCGGCCATTGGAGGTTGAACCAACGGCAAAGGAAGACCTTTCTCTCTGTCTCTCTTACTGTCCACTCTGCCTGTAAAAAAAAAAAAATACAATTTTTTAAAAAAAGAAATAATAGGGATCAGCTTTGTGGCGCAGTGGCTTAAGCCCCCTCTTGCGACACAGGCATCCTATATCAGAGCACTGCTTCAAGCCCCAAATGCTCCGTACTAATGCACCTGGGAAAATAGTGCATAATGGCCCAAATATCTGGGCTCCTCTCACCAATGTGGGAGACCCAGATGGAGTTCCAGGTTCCTGGCTTCAGTCTGGCCCAGCCACTGTAGCCATTTGGGGAGTGAACCAATGGATAAAAGATCTCTCTCCCTTCCTCTCTGTCATTCTGCTTTTCAAATAAATAAATAAACTTTAAAAGAGAGAGACAGGGAGGGAGGGAGGGACGGTGGGTGGGTGGGTAAGGAAAAACACTTAGATCCATGATATGAACTAAGAGCAATGGTGTTTTACTGGCCAGTTTTATGACTATTCTAATAAAGTGCATCGCCTTGTTTGATTTTAAAGAGTTTTAAGATATTTTTTAAAAAAATCTCATGGGGCCAGTGCTGTGATGCAGAGGGTTTAAGCTACCACCTGCAGCTCTGGCATCCTATATGGGTGCTAGCTCCACATCCAGTCCAGTTCCCTATTAATGGCTTGGGAAAGCAAAAGTACAAGGCACAAATGCTAGGGCCCCGGCATCCACATGGGAGATCCGAAAGAAGTTCCTAGCTCCTGGCTTCAGCCTGATGTAGCTCTGGCCACAGCAGTCATTTGGGGAGTGAACCAGTGGATGGAAGATCTCTGTCTCTCCTCTCTCTCTGTAACTCTGCCTTTCAAATAAATAAATAAATCTTTTTAAAAGAAAATCTCACTATTAGACTCATCTAAAGTTTAACTGATTGCATTCCTAACCAACATTTAAAAAGTTTGGGGAAATCTAATTTATTGACTTCATGATTCACTGATTGTGTGAATACTTTGGGAATACTTAGAGGAAAGTTAATTGTTTAAAAGTCAATGAATTGGACTCTAGAAAAAGAATATACAGGGGCCAGCACTGTGGCACAATAGGTAAAGTTACCACCTGTGATACTAGCATCCCAGTTTTTGTCCCAGTTGCTCCACTTCTGATCTAGCTCCCTGCTAACGGCCTGGGAAAAGCAGCAGAAGATGGTCCAAGTGTTTGGACCCCTGCACCCACATGGGAGACTTGGAAGAAGCTCCTGGCTTCAGCCTACCCCAGCCCTGAGTATTGTAGCCATCTGAGGAGTGAACCAGCAGACGGAAGATCAATCCTCCTCTCTCTCTCTCTCCCTCTCTCTCTTTCTCTCTGACTCTGTCTCTCCCTCTTTTGTGTAACTCTGCAGAAGGAAGGAAGGAAGCAAGCGAGGGAGGAAGGAAAGAAGGAGGGAAAGAGAGGGAGATAGGAAGAGTGAGAAAAGAAAGAAAAAGGGAGGGAGAGGGAAAAGAAAAAGAAAAAGAAAAAAGAGAGAGAAAGAGAAAGAAAGAGAGGGAGGGAGGGAGGGAGGGGGAGGGAAAGGAGGGGGAGGTCAGCCAGCCAGCCCAGGACTGTGGCATAGTGCGCTAGGCCTCCGCCTGTGGTGCCAGAATCTCATATGTGCACAGGTTCATGTCCTGGATGCTCCTCTTCCAATCTAGGAAGCTCTGCTATGGCCTGGGAAAGCAGTAGAAGGTGGACCAAGTGTTTGGGCCCCTGCACCCACCTGGGAGACCTGAAGAAGCTCCTGGCTCCTGGCTTTGGATAGGCCCAGGTCTGGTCACTGTGGCCATTTGGGGAGTGAACCAGTGGATGGAAGACCTTTCTGTATCTAACTCTGCCTCTCAGATAAAGAAGGGAGGGAGGAAGGGAGGGAGGGAGGGAGAGAGGGAGGGAGGGAGGGAGGGAGGAAAAGGACATAAAGGAATTGATCTTCCAAGTTAAACAACATATTGGAAGTTTTAGGTATTATATCCACATGATGAGTGTTGGTATATGTTTCTTAAAGATTTATTTATTTGAAAGGCAGCATGACATAGAGAACAAGACAGAGTGAGAGAGAGATCTTCCATCCACTGATTCACTTCCCAAATGTCCACAACAGTTGGGACTGGGCCAGGCAAAAGCCAGGAGCCAGGAGCTCCATCCAGGTCTCCCATGCGGGTGGCAGGAACCCAAGTACTTAAGCCTTCACCTGCCACCTCCCGGGAACATTAGCAGGAAAATGGATTAGAAGAGCAGATTAGCTAGGATTTGAATCGGGCACTCCACTACACCACAATGTCCACTGCTTGATGTTTGCTTTTTATGAATAGCATTCTGGTGGCAGTGGAGGGCAGCCTGCAGAGAAAGAGATTATAATTTGAGAACATATTCCAGAAACTATTGCCCTCAATACTCTGCATTTCCAACCCCTGTGCCTTTGCTGAGGCTATCTACCTGCCAAGAAATCTCCATATACTCCACACCTCAAGCTCCCCTTCCCCTGCAGCCAGACCCAGGGCAAGCATCACCTCTCCACCAAGCTCTCCCTCACGCCCAGCCGTTGATTTCCTCTCCCACGGAACTCCCCTCAACAGTGTGCCTGTGCCACAGCTGGCTTCCCTTCTGCTCTGCCTTACAACTTCCTGTATGTTCATTCTCTCAACTTCTACTGAGTATTTACTAAGTGCCAAGTACCTAGTTTCTCTTCTCTCTCCCCAGCTGCAAACTTGGGCCCAAATCTTACTGGTAACTGTATCTTCCACAGAGCCTTGGACAGTGTCCTAGGACATGGCCAGCATTCAACACAAGGTAAGACTTGGGATGGGGGCCAGCACTGCGGTGCAGCAGGTTAAACCTTTGCTTGAGACACTGGCAGACCATATCAGAGTGTTAGTTTGAGCTCTAGCTACTCCAGTTCCCATCCAGCTTCTAGCTAATGCACCAGGGAAGGCAGTAGAAAATGGGCCAAGTACTTGGGCCCCTGCTACCCATGTGGTATACCATGATGGAGTTGCTGGCTCCTGGCTCCAGCCTATCCCAAATCTGGCTTTGCAGGCATCATCCGGGAAGTGAACCAGCAGATGGAAGATATTTGTGTGTATGTATGTGTGTGTACATGTGGGTGTGTATTTCTGACTTTGAAATAAAGAAATTTTAAAAAAAAATGGCTTCAGACAATGTTGCACCTCTGTTCAAAACTGATGGCTCCCAGCATCAGCATAATCCTTCCCAAGCCTCATGGCCAGCCACTCCAGTGCCACTCCAGTGCCCTAAGGCGCAGCCCTACCTACCCCACGTGCATTCTGAACCCTACAGAAAGGAGACTTCCTCTGTCCTAAACTTACCCCAGACCTCCTCCTCTGCCTGTGCAGTTCCTGCATTTGAACTTCTCTCACCTTCACCTCTGCCCCTTAATCCTCCCTTCTCAGGGCACTCTGCTTCCCCACATTCCACCCTGCCTCCTAAGTCATGCAAGTCTGTCTTCTATGAGGCAATAATCATGTCTCAGTTATGCTTGTATAAATGACAGCAGAAACATTCAAGAAATGGCAGGTATTTGATACACTAGTAACTGAAGGAACTGCTTCACCTTCTTGTCCCTCCTCAAACCCCGGGAATTCCATCTGGACAGGAATGGGACAAAATTATTCTTCCCACACATGCATCCCACCAAGTAGAAAGCCTTGATAAGGCAGGGGGCCATGCCAGGCTGAGGCACAGGCCTGTAGGCCTTCGGGCTCTTACCTTATTCTCAAAATCAGCCCCCAGTGCCTCAACGTCCAGGTGCAAGTTCTTCAGAAGGTCGCTCGTGCTGTGGGCACTCTGGGAACAAAGGTGAGTGTGAGTGCGAAGTGCAAGGGAACCGGGCAGCCCAGGAGAGTGCTCGGGGAGAAGAGCGTCCGACTGAACACAGCAGTGACCCGCACCCCAGGGCAGCGCCTCACTGAGGCAGCCTCACTCAACAGCCCTTTACCCAGTGTGAACGATGCTGCGGGCCAGGCAAATGGCCCAAAAAACCCCTTGTAGACTGCACTTTCTGGAGAGAAACAGACTGGTTAGGAAATGAAGCTATGGGCTAGAAATTCCTTCTTACTTATTTTTAAAATAACACAGAGTGAGCCCAAGATGGAAACAACCCATACATCCATCAGGAGGTGCATGAATGACCAAAATGCGGCACATATACACCATGGCAGAGGACTTGGCCTTCAAAGGGAATGAAATCCCACTGCATGCTGTCACGTGGATGGTGATCTGTGGGAAGGCACTAATGAAAGAAGCCAGGCACCAAAGCCAAAGCTTGCATACCTCCACCCACACGGCTCACCACAGGCATATTCAGACACAGCAGGTTAGAGGCTACCAGGGGAAGAGGGGCAGTGGTCACTGTTCAATGGGAACAGGGTTTCTGTTTGGGATTATGAACAGCTTTTGGAAATGGACAGTGATAACAGGTGCACAATACTGTAATTAAATACTGTAAAAGTATTTAATATCACTGAACTGTAAATTTATTTACAAAGGTTAAAATGGCAAATTTAATGTTATATATATTTTACTACAGTAAAAAAAAAAAGTTCTAAAAAGAAAAAAATAGAGGATCTCCAGGCCAGGCAGAAGGCTTCACCCTTACCTGGTTGTCACTTTCTTCCTCATCCTCCTCATTGGTCTCTTCCCCTAAAGCCAAAATCCTGAGAGTACTCTTGTCCTCCTGGATGATGGAGCCCAGGAGACCTTTCGTACGAGCGGAAGTCTTTAAACCCTGTGAAAGCTCCCAAACAGGGACAAGTCAAGGGTCTCGCCAAGAAGACCCTCAGAATGACCTTCAGAACGCCCTCCGCACTCCGTCTAGACGTCGCCCACTTCAAGTCCCTGCACAGCCGTGAGGCTGACCTGGCAGCTCCAGCTCACACCGATGACTCCCTGCTGAGCTCCTACGGCCCTGTCCGCAGACACTGGGGCATCAGCGCTGCGGCACAGGCCCAGCCTCCACTGCCAGGTCCACGCCCCTTCACACAGATGTGACTCTTCGTCCCACAGAGATTAGGAGCCCTGAGCACTCGGCCTGTTCCCAGCACAGCACCTCGAGGCCCCAGAGTGACTCCACGCGCCGACCACGAGCAATGGCTTACCAGCAGTTCTCCACGCTGCCCAGACTCCACCGAGCTCCCCAGGCTCATATTTTGAGATCCACGAAGAGCAGGAGGCGGGGCATCCACAAGGCCTCGTAGAGGAGCCAGGCCCCCAAGAGGAGCGTGGACTGGGGCTAACGAGGAACCCAGGGCCTGGCCAGCAGAAAACATCTTGTTACAAACCCAAGGAACCATGTAGCCCCGTGAGTGTCCAAGACCGACATGAAAATAACACCTATAAATCCTGCCTGCTCAAATTTAAGCCACCTCCACTCGGAGGCTAATAAAACACAACACCCAGGAAGGACGCTTGTGCGCCTGCATGAGGAATCACAGGCTGCCTTCCTGCTTCGCACGGCCCCGAGGTGCCTCTACATCTGGCAGATGCTGCACGGGGCCCTGCTCTGCTTTCAGAAGCCGCAGCAGAAGTGTGCAGGAAGGGAGCACAGAAGCAAAGTCGTCCTGCACCAGGAGGAGGCTCAGCAGATGAAGTGCAACACTGATCCGTCAACAGAAGCAGCCCAAGCACACTGTTACAAAGATGGACGTGGATGCTTCTGGGTGTGGTGGCCACAGCAGGGGAACTGCTGGACTTAAGTGATGTGCCTTTGGGTTCTATTTAGCTTTTTTCAAATCTTAGGTAGGTGGCTTTTTTTTTTAAGTTTATTTATTTATTTGAAAGGCCGAGCCACAGAAAAAGAAACCTTCCATCTACTGGTTCATGCCCAAAGGCCTACAACTGCTGAGGCTGTGCCAGGCCACAGCCAAGGAGGCAAGACCTCCATCTGTGTCTCCCATGTGGGCAGCAGCAACCAAAGTACTTGGGCCATCACCGGCTGCCTCCCAGGGTATGCACTGGCAGGCAGCTGGCTCAGAAGCAGGACTTGATACCAGGCACCCCAATATGCAATACACGTGTCCCAAGTGGCAGCTTAACACACTGTGCCACTGTGGCAGAGGCCTCCCCAAGGTCAGACAGAGAAAAAGACACTTACCCTGGAAATGAAATGTGGTCATTATCTGCCTGCCTGTGAAGGCTTCAACTGCTATTATTATCTGCTTATATATAACCATTTCTGCTTGCTAGTATAGACCAATGGTGTTAAGCCTTGCCCTAAGTCCAGCTCAGTATATGTGTGGGAAAAAAATCATCAGTAACTATGTACCCATGCGCAGGATTGTATCAATTCCTGTGGCTGCCATGTAATATTAGAATATCCAAACAAGTGTATACCTATAGCCATATGAAGGAGACAAAGAAGCTAAAACCATATATAAGGAAACACCCCTCTTTGTTCAGGGCTCAGTCTTTTTAGACCCGAATCCAACTGAGTCTTATGCTGGCGTAAATTAAGACTGCTCCCTGGCCTCGGTGTCTCCTCTTTGTCATGAATCCTGCTACACCACAAGGCCCACCCCACTATTTGACTATTTTTTTAATTATGGGCATGTATTTTTTATTACAATAAGCATAACTATGAACAAATATATATAAGTGACAAAAGAAGAATTCTTAATGGGGTAAGCCTTTGGCACAGAACTTAGGACGGGCTTAGGATGTCTGCATCCCATATCAGAGTGCCTGGGTTCAAGTACTGGCTCTGCTCTCCATTCCAGCTTCTTGACAGTGCACATCCTGGGAGGCAGTATGATGGCTCAAATAGTTGAGTATCTGCTATTCACATGGCAGACCTGGATTGAGTTCTCATCCTGGCTTCAGTCTGGCCCAGTCCTAGCTGTCACAGGTATTTAGGGAATAAACCAGTGAACAGGAAATTTCTCTCCCTCCCTCTCTCACTCTCTCTCCCCCTCTTTCTCTCTCTTTCCCTCCCCCGCCCCACTTCCTTCCTCCCTTCTCCCTCTCCCAAAATAAATTTCATGAAAAGGAGATGGGCATTTGGCATGGCAGTCAAGTCACCGCTTGGGACACCTGACTCCCATATCAGAACGCCTGGGTTTGAATCCCCATTCCACTTGTGAGTCCAGCTTCCTGTAAAGGTGCACCCTGGGAGGCAGCAGGTAATAGCTCCAACAGCTGGGACCCTGCCACCCTGTCCCCCAGGTGACAGCCCAGGGCTGTCTCTAAGACAGTAGGTATTGTATTCCACCTTCAGGCTGTGGCAGGAAAAGAACCCAGGAAAGCTCCTCTGAGCGAACAGTGAGCAAACAAGGCCTGCTCCTCCTGGCTTCAGCCCTCCCAACCAGCCCCAGTCACCAGCAAGCAAAATTCTTCCCACATCGCATTTATGGAAAATTATAGACTCCTAACATGACTAATTTGCCAACGTGCTGGGGGCTTGAGGGAAGGAGACAGGCATGCTGCGGGCTTTGTTCTGCCAGGCTTTACCAATTCAGTGGTTAGCAGGGAAATGATACATTGCTGACTCCTAGCTGATCATCTTCTACAGACGGCCATTAACTCCAAGTGTGGGGCTGTGCGTGACGTTGTCCTTCAGAGCGGATATACTTGCTGCCATTGAGCTAATTAAAACTTCCAGGATAATCTGCAGCTTATCCGATATTTATAGTGCTACAGTAGTTATTACAGCTAACAGAGAACCAGCGCACGCCAGCAATTAGGAACCAGAGGGAACAACCGGGTAAAGGCACAGCTGGGCCACAGCAAAAGAACAGCCGGGGAAATTCAGACTGACCCCCATGGTCTCTGACCCAACGTAACTTCTGAATGAAAACTATGGTGAGCGGATCAGGGGTCAGAATGACAGAGCAAACAACCCTTTGTCAGATGCCAGTAGGGGAGGAAGTGAGGTCATAGGCAGGTCTGCGCAAGTCTGACGCGGGTTATCCACAGGGCTTCCTGGGGACCCCGGGAGGCAAGGAGCAGAGGCAGCTCACTGGCTGTCAGAGAGAGATTCTGAGCTCCAGTGTCTGCCAGTGTTGATTAACTGCCTGGCTCTGTGTGACTGAGATGAGAAGAAGTGCAGGGCTTCAGGCCAGGGTGTATGCTCACAAGGATCCCTCTGTTGAATCAGCTCATGGGAAAGGCTTCCCGAATGCCAAATCCTGTGTGAGCGCCAGGATCAGTACCACTGTGTCCACCCTCAAGACTTACCATCTTCAAGGCCTGGGAACCACTCATGAGTTACAGTTAGAACCAGGAAAGGAAGTCACAGACACCGTCAGCCCTAGCTGGCAGGCAGTGGGGTCGAAGGCACTTGAAACACCTGTCACCCTCTAAGATGGCCACTGGGGTAGTTAAGAGACCAACAGTTACTGAGGGAGGGTGAACAGCGGGGAAGCAGACCTGCGGGCTGCACCAGGACATCGACTCCACCTGCTCCCTCCCTGCCAAGCCCACCAAGGCCGCGGGCCATATGCTCTCTAAGAAGCCTACCTGATGGAGAAGCTGCATCTTGTCAGGCCCTGCAGGAAGCCCTCTGCTGGAGCTCAGCTCGACTAGCTCCTGCCTGCAGGGGCTGCTGCTGGACTGGACTTTCTGAGAGGGCGCCTGGCCAGCAGCAGCAAGGGCCACTGCCTGAGGAAGCTCCAGCACCTCCGGTCCCTGAACCAGGAACCTGCAGTCCCTCTCTGCGGCTATGAGGACGTCAGGCTCGCCCTCACTGCATGTCCTGGAACACCTAGCCGCCATGCAGCAGACCACGCCGGTGATGTCTTGGCATGGCATTTCCTGCATGCTCTCGGGCAGCCCCAGGCCCTCCAGCCGCCTGGAGACCTTGGCCATCCGCAGGATGTGCTGGTAGAACTTCTGGTCCTCAGAGTAGTCTTCGCTGTCTGAGCACTCCTCAGCAGGGCCGTGCATCTCGGACAACTGCGGTGCTAGGAAGGGACTGAAGTGCTGACCTCTGGGTCCGGGACCTGGCTGACCCCCGTCCCAGACAAATCCCTGGGGTCTCGGCAGGTCCCAAGGCAAGTTGTTCACCTCACCCAGGACCTCAGAGCCAAAGTGCGAGGCCAGACTGTTGCTGCAGCTGCTGCTCTCCTCGTCGGGCCCAGATCCACTAGCCTTCCTATCTTCATCCGAAGACTCCAGGGACCCTGGGGGATGTCTCTTCTTACTAGCAGGGGACCCTGCCAGGGAACTCTCAGAACAGGCATTCCGAGCTGCTTCTGCCTCCCGGATGTCGGGCGCTACTAGGAACAGTCGCTGAGGCACCTCTTCAGCCAGGGCCCCTGTAGCCTCAGCGTCAATGGACTCGGTTTCCTTGCAGCTCTCTGAGGTGTCCTTGGTGACAAGCTTGGCGAACTGTCCCGTCCACAATCCTGGGGACTCTCTCCTTTGCCTCCCCTTGCCCACACTCTCGCTGTCCCCAGGAACTCCTGGCAAGCTCAGATCTTCAGCTGGGCTCCTATCTAACAACAGCAGCTTGGTAGGCAGCATCTGGTCAGAACAAAGGGACAGGGAGGGCTCCTCCTCAGATGGCAAGGGGATGGGGCTTCGGCCCTTGTCCCCCCTGGGGCCAGTGGAGCTCAGCTGGGCTGTGCTGTGGCTGTGCTGCTCCCCTTTCAGCTGTGGACTGCTGGTGGTTTCAGAAAGCTGCAGGTGGGCAGGGGTCTGGCTCCTGCATCCTAATGCATCCTGCTCATCCCGGAGAGGCCCCACGTTTGCAGGGCCTAGGGGGCCACGTTTCTGCTGTCTGGTCCTCTTTTTCAGCTCTTCTATTTCAGGGTCCGAAAACCCCAGGTCGATTTTCTCTGCAACCTTCTGGGGGTTCTCCAGACTCTGCTGGTCACCTAAGTCTGGCCTGAGTTGGGTTGGGGCCCTCCCTAAGATTTTCTCCACATCAGCAAAGATCTGGTGATTTCGAAAAGCTTGGCTTTTGGAGAGCGGCTGCAGTTTGCTGGGGAGGGCACCCAGGAAAGGCCGGGGCGGGTCACCCAGCATGCATGGGCTCTTCCCTTTCTTAAAGGAGCCCTTACTTCTAGCCTGCATCTCTTGGTCTAGGTCCAGATCAGCAAGCTCACGTGCAGGGAGAGGGGACAGGCCACGGAGAGAGGAGGAAGGCAGAAGTCCCTGCTCAGGCAGTGTTTCCTGGATGGGTATATAAACATGCAGAGAGAACTAAGAGAAAGTACTTCTGATTTATACCTGCTACCTCAACCCCTGGCAAGCCTAGACAGAAATCTGCCTTCCATTTAGGTAAAACATCACCAAAGAGGGAATAAAAACTAAGATCTCCCTTGAACTGGAAACATGTTGTTTTCTAGGCTCCAGTTTCCATCTATAGAGAGCTGGACAAGATAAGTGGCTTACACACCTCGCTCCATGGAACCTGGGGGGCTTGGTATCTCAAGGGCCACTCCAGCGTGTCTGTGATGGCAGAGTGTCACCCTGACCTACACCCCTGGCTTCAACCATAGCAACTCCATTCCCTTTTCTACAAGCCTGCCCTCTTGAGATAATGTGAAGACAGGGTTTCATTACCAACAAAAGAATGATGAGCACCAGTGAGATTATCCCTAAGGTGCCACTGAGCTGCATCAGGTTAATGTTATACAATCCACCAACCTTACCAAGGACTCCCAGAAATTCTCTAGGAGAAAGAGGGAAAAAAAACCATAACCAGCAGCCTGGCGCCTGAAAACTCAGTCCAGAGTCTACCACCAAAGGCACAAGTCAGCACTACTCGGGGGACATCCACAGTCGGTAAACTTCGGGCTAACAAGAAACTCTGAAAAATTAACCAGCCCTGTAAACACTTACAGTGAACCTGGCTCTGCGGGCTTACTTCCAAAGAGCCCAAACCAATGAGTACAGGCCACCCGCCCGGCTTGAGCCTGTCCTCTGGACAAATGCAAGCTTCAGGCACCTGGCATGAGCCCTGAGAAGCAGACAGCCAGCCTGGGACTGTCCAATTGTCCTCATTCTCCAAAACTTCAGAAGGGCCCCATTTTAACAGAGCTCTGGGAACCCAGCTGTATACCCAGAACTCAAGTCTTCCACCTAACCCTCCACCCCAGGACCCCACATTTCATTGCTTCTCCCATCTTTAGCCATGCCACAGTTTACCAGATGCCTGATTTTCATTTCAAATAATCCTGAGTTAGTGAAAAGTCCATCAGTCACCTTCTGCCTGCCAAACACATAACACCTCTTTGGAAATTACCTGTCCTCTTTTCTGCATCTGAGCAAAGGGCTTATTATTTTGTTCCTCAGAACCATGATAAAGCCATACGTGAGGAGGGGAGAGCTTGGACGTGATAAAAAGGAGCAATTCATCACCAACCATTCAGAGACAAAACTGACACCTTAGGAAAGAAGGAAGATGGATGAAATCTTTGCTCTGGTGGGAAATAAAGGTTATGAACAAAAGAGGAAAACAACTGGACCACTGAGAGGGTTGAAAAGATATTCCTAGCGCTCCCTACATCCCTCTTGTCTCAGCATGCCCGCTGCATGAAGGCAGGGGCCGCCGTGCTCTGGGAGAGCGGGAGCCTCATTTCAGTACAGCTGCAAGTCTTAGCAACTCCACCTCCTAAGTTTAGACATGCCGAAGGGACAGACTGAACGATGGGAAAGAGCACCCTGCACTCTAAATACAAAAGCCGCCGAGACCAGCAAGCACGCTGCTGTTAAGCCACCGAGGTTGCTGGCACCAAGACACTCCACAAGAGCAGAGGGAGCAGATACTGCCAAGGCTTTTCTTTTGGGTCTTCAAGGCATTGGTGTTGTGCTAAGTGAATTGCTATCACTTTAAGACAAAGAATAAGCCTACATGCACTAGGAAGACCTGGCTCTGAGTGCAGAGAAAGGACACTCAGCCATGGAGGCTCCTGACCTCTCCAGGGCAGCAGTGGCCATCACTTCCCACACTACTGCTCAACAGTGTCCTTGGCACGTCACTCTCTCTCACCAGCCCTAAGCAACAGGTACTACCCCAGGCATCTCACCAGCCCTAAGCAACAGGTACTACCCCAGGCACTGGACGACAGCAGCCATCTGGAGAGGATAACAGTGAAAATCTCCCAGAAGACAGTCACAATCCAGATGACCTGCTATCAAAAATGCACGGACCATTGTTCTCATCCGCCCATCTGCATACAAGGGACTCCAGTATCCCCTCGGGTCTCACCCTGGCCTCTCCAGGAGCTGGCATCTGCTGACTTACCAGGGAATTTTTACAGGTCTCCCTATCCTTCTTGTCTTTCTTTTCCTTTTTCTTTTTCTTGTCTTTCTTCTTAACAGCCCCAGGAGTTGACAGCTTCCCCCGCTCTTGGATCACCAAGTTCCGATAATGCTCGTCACACGGATGGTCCCACGTGGACTGCCCATTGGCAAAGTTGAAATAGTAAATATCACCTGTGATGTCCTGGCTGGAGATGAGCAGAGTTCAGAAGTTAGTCCCTGCTCAGGTCCAAAACTACTTGGGGGCAAAATGGGAACAGGGAGGAGTGGAGGGGGAGGAGAAGAGGGAGAAAGAAGATAGGAGGAGTTGGGGTGAGAGAGGGAAGGAGGGAAGAAAGGATTAGTACAAAATAATTAAAGGGTGCCATTTGGCTAAGGAATTAACTTAGATATGGGGACAATGGATTGGGACACCATGTGGAGATATATAATCACCAGAGTTCTGGGAATTCATGCTAGGCTAGAGAAGGCATAAATTTGGCTTTATTTACAAAAAGTATAAACACTATGGTACCTTGGAGATGTACACTAGGACAGACCCTGCTTAATATTTTAATTAATAATCAGAAGAAGAAAAAGGCATTGTGAAAGCTCTGGTTTTGCAGAAGACTCTAGACTCATAGGAAGTGATAATCCAAGCTAGTAGGGGTCAATAGTAGAAGAAAATAACATAGAAGGTGGATTTTAAGAATCTGTGTTTCAACACAAGCAAGTCCAAAGTAAACCATCCATCCAGCCACCATTAATAATGACCCATTCAGACAGCTAGCAGGAATAGCAATATAAAAGACAAAATACATTGGAATAAATCTAAAATGTTAAGATCTTTATAGAGCTTTACTGGAAAGGTAAGAAAGAAAGGAAAAAGCAACTGAAACAATTGGAGCAAAACCATGTTCCTGAATAGAAAGACTTGAATCATTAAGATGCCAATAATCCTTAATATAGAAATTCAGGGCAATTCCCATGAGGATCCTAAAGAAACTCAACTCAATTCAAACAAAACAGAAAATGAAGAAAAGCAGACAGAAAAGTATCAAAAGTAGAAAAAGAACAACAATAGAAGGCATTCGAACGACCAATAAATTCATAAAAAGAAGTTCAGCACCATTAAATTAGGAAAATGCAACAAAACTACCGTGAAACACTACTTCACACCTGCCAATATGGCTATTACCAAAAACCCAGAAAATAACAAGTGTCAGCAAAAATCTGGAGAAATTGAAACACATTGCTGGGGGCTAGCACTGTGGCGCAGCAGGTTAAAGCCCTGGCCTGAAGCGCCAGCATCCCATATGGGTGCCGGTTCTGGTCCCGGCTGCTCCTCTTCTGATCCAGCTCTCTACTATGGCCTGGGATAGCAGAAGATAGCCCAAGTCCTTGGGCCCCTGCACCCACGTGGGAGACCCAGAGGAAGCTACTGTCTCCTAGCTTTGGATTGGCACAGCTCTAGCCACTGGGACCGTCTGGGGAGTGAATCAGCAGGTGGAAGACTTCTCTTTCTGCCTCTCCTCTCTCTGTAACTCTGCCTTTCAAATAAATAAAATAAATCTTTAAAAACACACACACACACACACATCGCTGGTGGAAATGTATAATGGTATAGCACTGTGGAAAACCAATGCCAGTTCCCCCAAATAATTAAACACAGAATTACCATATGACCTCACAGTTCCACTTCCTGCAGCCACAAAAATGGAAAGCAGAGATTCTATAAGTATCTGTGTTGGGGCCAGCACTGTGGCGTAGCAGGAAAAAAAGCTGCCACCCCATATGGGTGCCAGTTCGAGTCCCAGCAGCTCTACTTCCAATCCAGCTCTATGCTATGGCCTAGGAAAGCAGTGGAAGATGGCCCAAGTCTTTGGGCCCCTGCACCCATGTGGGAGACCCAGAAGAAGCTCCTGGCTCTTGGCTTCGGATCAGCACAGCTCTGGCCATTGCAGCCAATTGGGAAGTGAACCAGCAGATGGAAGAGCTCTCTCTCTCTGCCTCTCCTTCTCTCTCTGTGTAACGCTGATTTTCAAAAAAAAAAAAAAAAAAAAAAAAAAAAAGAAGAAGAAGAAGAAGCAGCTGTGCACAACATTCAGAGGAGCCAAAAGGTGGAAACCCAACTGTCCATTGACAGATGAATGCATAAACAGAATGTGATACATACACACATTGAATTATTATTCAGCCTTAAGAAATAAATTCTGCCACATGCTATAACATAGATGAATCCTGATACACTCAATGAAAAAAGTCAAGGGTGGACACTGTGGTTTGTGGGTTAAGTTGCCACTTGGGACATCCACATCCCTTATCAAAGTGCCAGTTTGAGTTGAAGCTATTCCACTTCCACTCTAGCTCCCTGCTAATGCACCTGGGAAGCAGCAGAAGATGGCCGAGTACTTGAGATCCACCCACTCATATGGAATTCCTGAGTACTGGCTTCAGCTTGGTACAGCCTAGGCTGATGCAGACATTTGGGGAGCAAACAGTAAGTGGAAGATCTGTCTCATATCTCTCTGCCTCTGTCTCTGTCTCCCTCTCTCTCTAATAAGTAAAAAAAAAAAAAAAAAAAGAACAAGAAGCAGCAGCCACTGTCACTGCCGCCAGACACCAAAGGACAATATTGTATGACTCCTCTTAGATGAAGTGCGTAGGATAAGTCTCAGGGACAGAAAAGCAGAATGGTGATTGAGCAGAGAGAGAGATGGGGGTTGCTTATAATGGGTAGAGAGTTTCAGTACAGGAAGATCAAAAAATGCTAGAGGTGGACAGCAGTGATGGCTGTACCACCACAATATGAATGCACCTCATGCTGCTGGGCTACAAACCTAAAATTGGTTAAATGATAAATTTTAAGTTCTGTACTTGTATAATTTAACATAATAAAAAATACAAAATAACTTATAATAAAATAAAGCATAAATATAATTAAGAGACTGGAAGAAAATATAAATAATAATAGTTAAGATTAATACCCACAGTAATCAAAATTCTAACACCTTAAGAAAAATAAAAAGATATGCACCCAATGGACAAAAAGCCCGAAGATATATATAAAGCAAAACCCAGAAGATTAACAAATGGCCACCAGATGGCCAACTCCGCTCTGTGAACAATCTGGGAAACACAAATTAAAACAAGACTAGGGCAGGTGTTCACATAGAGGTTAGGCAGGTGCTCAGGACTCCTGGCTCCTGCAACCCACACTGCAGGGAGGACAGTTGAAGTCCTGGTTCCACCCCTAATTCCGGCTTAGGAGGTAGCAGCGGATGGCTCAATTACTTGGGTCCCTGCCACTCATGTGGGAGACCCAGACGGTTTCTAGTGCCTGGTTTTGACCTGGTCCAGCCCCAGAGATTACAACCATTTGGGCACTGAACTAGTGGATGGAAAATCATTCTCTATCTGCCTTTCAAATAAATATATCACTTTAAAAAAATAAATAAAATGAAGTATAATTTCTTGCCCTTGAACTGGCAACTTTTTTTTTTTTTTTTACAGGCAGAGTGGACAGTGAGAGAGAGAGACAGAGAGAAAGGTCTTCCTTTGCCGTTGGGTTCACCTTCTAATGGCCGCCGCGGCTGGCGCGCTGTGGCCGGCGCACTGCGCTAATCCGATGGCAGGAGCCAGGTACTTATCCTGGTCTCCCATGGAGTGCAGGGCCCAAGGACTTGGGCCATCCTCCACTGCACTCCCAGGCCACAGCAGGGAGCTGGCCTGGAAGAGGGGCAACAGGGACAGAATCCGGCACCCCGACCGGGACTAGAACCTGGTGTGCCGGCCCTGCAAGGTGGAGGATTAGCCTAGTGAGCCACGGTGCCAGCCCGCAACTAGCAGTCTTAACCTCTAATTCAATGGATTCTCTTGGTGGAAATGTTTCTCCTTTTAGAGCTAAGAACTCTAGGTCATCAAGACATAAGTTTTCATAAATAAGAAGAAAATTTTGCTAGTGAGTCATTAGGGATAATCCTGAATGATGCCACTCTCGTTTCTACCCCTTGGTTCCTGAACCTGTGAATTGTGGCTTTGTGAGAAGTGCACCATATA